TAGCTAAATGCTTCTTTAAAGCCTAAAGTATCAAAATGCTAGCTAAATGCCTAAAAGAAGCAAAATGTTACTAAAGTGTTAAGTAGCTAAACACTAGCTAAAGGCCTAATAGTAGCAAAATGCTAGCTAAAAGCCTAAAGTAGCTAAATGCTAGATGACCCTAAAAGTAGCAAAATGCTTCTGTAAAGCCTAAAGTAGATAAATGCAAGCCTAAAATAGTAAAATACTACTATAAAGCATAAAGTAGCTAAACACTAGCTAAAAGCCTAAAAGTAGCAAAATGCTACATTAAAGCCTAAAGTATCAAAAGGCTAGCTAAAAGCCTAAAAGAAGTGAAATGTTACTAAAGTGTAAAGTAGCTAAACGCTAGCTAAAAGCCTAAAATAGCAAAATGCTTCTTTAAAGCCAAAAGTAGCTAAATTCTAGCTACTGTAAAAACCTAAAATAGCAAAACGCTAGCTAAAAGCCTAAAGGAGAAAAAGGTTTGCTAAAGGGCAAAGTAGCCTAAAGTTAACTAAAAGCTTAGCATCATAGAGATTTTAAAAACATATAGCCAGTAGTAGCTGAAGCACATTTCAAAAAACACGTTTCGAGGGAATTGAAGATATTTCTATGTGTTTCTATGGGTAAATGTTTGCAACTAAAGTTAAACATTTTAAAAACTTTAAAAGTAACAAAAACCAAAGGGTGAGGCTCCCATCTCGTGACTGAGCTGAACGTTTCGATACAGGAACAGCTAAAACAGGATAAAGGATGCAGAATTAATCAGACTGCAAACGTTGTTGGGAAAATTAAGATAAGTAGATCAATAATGTGAATGACGCCGTTGATTTACTGGTTGCTCTAAACTGTAGCTGCTGCTTTAAAATCAACAAAAACAGTAAAATTCTTAATTGTTATTTATCTGAAAGGTAGAAATCATCTGGAATGTGATGAAAGTGTCAGATCTGTGGTCAGGGTTTGAGCTCTAAGTGTTTTTATTTTATTTTATTATTAAAGGAAGACTTTTAACAACATGCAGTATATCTACCAATTCAGTCGTTCTGACAGGAGCTACTTCCTGAATGTGGGTTAGGTTACCATGGCAACACAACTGGAGCGCGGGATGACTTTTTTTTTTAGTTTGGCATTAATCAACATTTTGTGCAGCAGATCAGACGTGGTTCTGTTTAATTTTATTTATTGAATAACGCCGGACCTCCTGGACGTCCGTCAGTAACGATGCTGATGATCAATGAGACCCGTCCAGGGAGAAAAAAAAGGCCGAAGCCGTTTTTAAACGAGACGTTTGTGGCTCTACGTTGAAAAGAGAAATAAGGGAATGTTTCTCTGCGTGTCCTGCAGGCGTCGGTCTTCGCTGAAGCCTTCCCTTCACCACCTGGCGCGTCATCGTGTGACCTCCACGCTGTGCCCACGCTGACGCAGCTCCTCGGGGGCCGAGCCGGACAGGACCAGAGGTACGTGAGCCGCCCCCTCTCGGACTCACTGCGCCTCTGTCACATGTCGTCATCATTACTAATGATCACTTTCTGAATGTTTCGCTACAATCCTTCCATTGGTTCATGAGATATTTTGCTAACAGACGAGCTGGATTGACTCCAACAGTCCAAGGGTTCAAAGTATATGCTGGGGACAAAGCTCAGCTACTACCACACCAAACGTTATCACAGGATCTGCAACACTGACTGAGTTATAGCAGGTTTTGTGTTTATCAGGGTCAGCTGGTTGTGGCGGCCATCTTAAATTCGTTTGATTCCGACTGTTAATCAGCTGTAGAGGTTGATCTACTAATTACTCCCTAGAGGTTTTGTTAAAACCCGTCCAGTGGTTCATGAGATATTTTGCTAACAGACGGACAGCGCTGACTCCAAACAGTTAATGCAAAATGTTTTAACAAAGCGATCTGTTAGCGCTTTGAGTAAAAGTTGTAGATCACTCTCAGCTACTACCACACTGATCATAATAGTGTTTGGAGGTGTGACTGTGAAATATATTACATTAAAAACTTATTTATTCTGATTTATATAAAACAATAAGCTGATTTAAAAACTGAAACAGTGCCACCACGTGGTGTATTTGGTGAACTGCAAGTTAAGACACAAAAATATCTTCAGAACCTGCTATAATATTATAAATTAATCTCAACATTTTCCAAAGTGTTTGCATGAATTGTTTGATGAGCAAATGAATGGATGAGTTCTTAAAGTTTCAGAGAAGTCGTTTGGAGCGGCCGTGGCTGAGTAAAGATGTCGCAGCGCTGCGTTTTATTCGGCTCGTTGTTCGTGTCTGACTCTGCAGGCTCCTGGATCGTTTCCATGACCTGAACAAAATGATCGGACGGAGCTACAGGAGAGCCAGCAGGGCGTCTCGTGACCTTCGGCTGAAGACGCTACACCTCCAGCAGCCCGCCGCGGTGAGCGAAACCTGCCGAGCTGGTTCTGGTTCTGTTCACACTGAGAGACGAGCTGACCTGTTTCTGCGTCGGCAGCTTCTAAAAGTTTAAATTTACAGTCGTGTGTTCGTGTTTTGTTTGTAAAGCCTGTTTGCTCGTCGGTCGGAACAAAAAGCACCGAGCACCTAAAGCTGCATGTGCAAATTAATTGAATTCTTATTTTAAACTCATCCGTAGCAACACGAGCGCGTCGACACGCTGCCGTCTCATTCGGCTGCTGGAATGTGCACAATGTTCACGGTCGGTGTAAATTAACAGAACGAGTGTATCGGGTTAGGAAACTACAGGTATTTAAGGTTTGTCACTTTAAAAGCAACAATAGTCTTGACAGAACACAAAAAGTACAGAAGCTTATGGTATTTATTTGATGTAATAATGCTTCTTGGCAATAAATCTTAGACCGTATGAAAACCTGTTTATTTCCCCTGAATGTCGCCACGCTTGTTAAGAAAACACGTCTGTGGGTTGAGCAGCAGAGTTTTTGTTGCCTCCATGAAAACCTTGACAAATCTTATCTAACAGCTTCTTCTGCTGTTGATTCTTGTTTAGTGTTTGTTGGACGACTGGCGTCTGAAGAAACGAGACATGTTGACGATTTAACTGTTCGCTAATTTAAACAGCAACCACTGTAGCATGTGGAAGAACCATACACAGCCACAGCCTCCTGGTACCTCCTCCTCCTCGTGCTGGTTGGTCACGGTGCTGTGAGACAACGTCACATTCTTCAACCATCATTTGTCGTCAGCGTGGTTCTGTGGGTCGCTCTGGAGCGAGCAGCACCACCAAGCTGATCCCACAGTGGTTCTGACAATCTGGTACCACTTTAGAATAAATAAAGATTTTAACAACAGTATATTGCCAAGAAGTATTGTTACAACAAACATAAATAAAATGTTTCCTGATTCAGGATCAATAATCCAGGTAGATTAATCCAACAAAGTTGAGTCAGGTCATCTGGACGGATTATTTTTGTTGAAACATTTCATCCTTCATCCAGAAGACTTCATCAGTCCGAGGAGCCTCAACAAACTCAGTCATATAAACAGCATCTTCACATAGTGTGTCAACCCATATATAAAATAAAATAAAATAAAATAAACCCATATATAAAATAAAATAAAATAAACCCGTATATAAAATAAAACAAAATAAACCCATATATAAAATAAAATAAACCCATATATAAAATAAA